TACCCCCGCCCCAGCGCAGTCTCCCTCTCCACCGATGCCTCCCCAACGCGTGCTGCCATGGCTAGGGGCCTGGAGAGGAGACCAAACCAGGGGCAGCAAGTGGGGTCATTCTTCTCACAGCCCCTCCCTCCTCCGGGGGAGGCTGGGCCGCTGGCAGGAGGGGGGAGGGGCAGACATTCAGCTCAGGCCGCCACTCAAGCCATTCAATAAACCGCTGATCGCTACTCCTCTGGTGTTGAACAAGCGCATCCCTGGGTGGCCAGGAAGACAGGAGATGCCCTGCAGCGCTTCAGGGAGGAGAGGGACGCGGGGCTGGGCGCTTTGCCCTCCAGGCCTCCCCTGGGCCGCGGGGGTGAGGGCGGGTGAGGGGGGGCGGGCCCTGAGGAGGGCTCGGCACCCAGCAGCCCATCTCCATGGGCCGCCCTGCAGGCCTGTGGCCCTGAGTGTGGTGAGGGGCTGCACTGCTGGCCTCCAGGGACGCCTAGATTCTCAGAGACAGGTCTTGGCTGCCACACCTTGGGTTGAGCCCTTCAGCCCCAGAGGAGGGGGGAGTGGACAGGGACCCAGGTCTGTCTGAGTTCCCTGGGCTGACAGCCATGGGGGCAGCCGGTCCCTGCCTGTCCCAGGCCTGGGCCTCACCAGGAGGGTGGAGGCCGGGAGGTGAGAAGACAAAACAGCCATGTTGACGGGACCCCCCCCAAGCACCACTCCCCCGTCAATCCCTACCGACTCCATCCATGCTGGAATTGTGGCGATAAAGCAACCAGGGGAGGGGAGGCGGGGCGAGGGGCGTCTCCCCCCAATCAGGAGGCACAGAGAAGCAAACCCACTTCCATCCTCCTTCCTCAGGCCCACAAGTCCTGTCCACGCTGACCTGTGCCATGGCCTCCCCTGGCGGGGGGTGGTGCGCTCCCCTCCTGGCTGGTCACTTGAGCTGTGTGAGCTGGGCAGGCCGCCTGCCCTCTCTGGCTTGCCCTTCCCCATGCACAACACGAGGCACTTACACTGGGTCATTACCAGGCCCCTCACAGCTCGAATGGAAGGGACTGGAAAACTGAGTGTGGTCCCAGGCTGGGGCACCCTGATCAGGATGGGGTGACAGCCAGATGGATGGGACTCCCAAATCCCCAGGGTCCCACTGCCCAGCCCACTGCCTCACCTGCCTTCAGACCAGTCAGGGACTCGGGCCCTATCCAGCTCTGCTGTGGTGCTGGCTGACCAGCAGACCCTGAGTGACGGATGAGTGATGACTCTGACACATGTTTCTGTGAAAGAGAGGGCTAAGGGGCTGCCTGGCTAAAGGACCCAGACAGCCCCATTCACCTGCCTCCTTGGGCTTTTATTGTAGCAACAGCTTGAACTAAAATTAGCTATTAGATACTATCAGCAGGGTGAGCATCCTATAGAAGACACATGCGTCTGCAGTGTTTTTAAGCAAGGACACTTTGAAGTCTAAATATAAAGATTCTAGTAAAACACTGGGGTTGGGGGGTGGGGAGGAAGGTTCATACTTGATTGGAAAAGTCAAGGCAGGGGCTGCTGCCTTCAGCAAAGTCCCCCTCAAGGTCCCCGACCTTTCAGAGAGTCCTCCTGACAGACCTTCCAACCAAGTCCCGTGCTGCCCCACACGCTGGACCCGGGTCTTCCAGGCCCACCCACCACAGGACACCTGTGCGTACCGGGCTACTGGGTCCTCTTCTTAGAACAGTGCAGGGATGTGGGCAGGGCTTCTCGCCTCCACTTGGGGAAAGATGGTGGGAGTGGAGGGCGAAGCAGACAGAAGGGGACGTGGGGAGACGCCCCGCCAGGGGCATCAGGGCATCTCGTCGTGTGGGCTTGGGGCAGGGAGCCGAAGTCAGAGCCCAAAGGGGCGACTCACCGGGGTGACCTTGGGCTCACCAGCGGCGTGACCTTGGGCAGCGGCTCAGCCTGCAGGAGGGTAAGGGCATCTGAAAGGATCTTGGAAAAGACCACACAGTGTGTGAAGCCCCAGCACGACAATATTATTACGGTTGTTGAATCGTCAGCAGCAACAATGACAACATCTCCCCCTGGAGCCAAGCTTGATTTTTAACCTTCTGCACTTGGACAGGAGATGTAACCAGACAAACATCGGGTCTGTGCCTGTCACTACCTGAGCCAATTCGGCAGAGACGGTGAATCCTATGAGCGTGTGTTCCACTCCTGCCGGCAGCGTGGGAGAGCAGCAGGTCACACACAGACACCTGCTCCCGCCACCCGCCCCCTCCCCATAAGCCAGCTGCTGTATTGGGTAGAAGGACAGAGATTACAGGGGAAGGAGGCAACGGGTGTGCCAGATGGGCAGTTTACAGGCAATGTGGGCTGGATATGCAAAGGCCTGCGGGTAAGCAAAGGCTGGGGGCCTTTCCGGGCTGGGGGCTCCGGTCTCTGCAATGAGGTTGCTAGTCTTTTCATGATCACAGGCAGCTCCCTGGTGGGGAGGATGGGCCGCATTCCCAGGTGAACCCCCGGGTCCCACTGCAACTCCCAGCCAGGTGAGCATGCGCCTCTGCAATCAGAACAGCCATCCCGGTCCCAGAGCAGGACTCATCTTCCTCACAGTCACCGCGGCCCCACGTTCAGAGGGACCCAGTGGGGGCAGCTGGGTCGTTTCCCATCATTTGTTGTTTTTCCCCATCCAGGGAACCCGCCAAAGGCTCTCTGCAGTTCAGGGATGTGGCCAGAAGGTGGCAGAATTTTACTGCCGTGAATGGGCACTAAGCCTCCCTCCCCAGTCAGGCCTGGCCACACCCGCTTCACAAGGGGTGGCCCTTCCCTTTCTGCAGGAACTACAGGGGCCTTATCCGAGGCTGTGGAATGTGACCACAGGATGACAGCCCCAGCTGAGAAGGGACAGGGGGCTTGCTGCTCACCCCAACCCAGCACGGGAGCTGCAGGGTCCCCTCCAGGTGGGCGCTGAGCCCTCGCTGTGGGTGGGAGGGTGGGCCTGCAGGAGAGGTGGGGTGGGCTCGGCAGGCTCCGTCCTGCAGCCTCTGATGTGGGAGGGATGGGGCTGTGGACAAGGCAGACCGCCAGGTCAGGGTGGGCGGAAAGGCCGTCCTCAGAACAGGTGCCTGAGGGCTGCAGCCTGCAGAGCCCGACTTCTATCATCCTCCCTCTCCCACCCACGGAGCAAAGGCATCTACTTGCCGTCTGATTGACAACGCCAAGCTCTGAAGGGGGCCCAGGAATAACTGCCCAGAAGGGGGGGGGGCAGAGGTGTGGGCCCAGCGCCGCAGCTCATTCCCCACTGAACCCTCCGCCGCCGGCTTCCTCCTGGCAGGTGTGGGGCAGAGGGAGGGCTGAGCCCTCAGATCCTCCAGCCGGAACAGCGCGTCGGGGTTCTGACGACAGGTCTGCAGGCTGCAGCCGTGGCCCTGTCGCCTCTGTACCCCCAGGCGAGGCTGTGACCCCACCAATGTGACCTGGGGCCGAGCCCAGGTGAAGGCAGCGCAGGTCTGAAGGGAGCCGTCCGGCCTCAGGCTTCTGGTCAGCGGCCTGGGTGGTGATTCCCCCTCACTGGGCTGCCCAGGGCAAAGGTCGATGCTGGCGAAAAGCATCTGGTAAGAGTTTAAGGAATGGGTAGGAATCGAACTGAGTAGATGGGCAGGTGTGACTGTGCCCATTTCACAGGTAAAGGAACAGGCCGTGTGTGCTGGTGACCCACCCAAGGATGCATTGCTGAGAGAAGGTGGAGCGGACGCTGCCTCCAGGACACCCTCCTCGCCCCGT